TAATTTGTTTGACTTTGATACTCTAGAATTAGTCACTGTTTACAAGGTATTTTCACCACTGTTTTTTAAAAAGATTTTTAAGGTGCTTAATGTAACCTCGTTGTTTGAAGTAGACAGTTCTTTTAAGCTAACAATAATATGAAGTTTAGAGGTTTGAATTCTGAACTGGATGAGGGCAAATAATGATTAGCTATCATAAAATTCTGAACGTTGATTGCAAGTCAGGCTAAGGAAATTCGTATCTTATGACAAGGTGCAGTTAAGTCAAAAAACCATCAATCAAGTATTTCTGTCATGTAAATTTAATTTTCTGATTACTACATAAGCGTTATTATATTATTTTTAAAAACTACATATTCTCGACGTTACTTTTACTTTTCACCAACCGTGATAACGGTAAACTTCTTTTCGACCATTAAAAATAATAAAATACTCGTAGTAATCGGAAAAATAATAGTTTCATTCAAATATTATTATTAAAATTCACAATGTGATCACTTTATGACACCATAATCTTAATCTTTTGATAGTAAATACTAGTTACCTAAGTAACTTTCTATTTTACTAGAAGTTACCCAAGTAGATTCTTAGGTAAGTATCTTTCATTACCTTAATATCATTGAACATAACGCTTGTTTCAACGATCCTTTCATCCACAACATCTCTGTCCTGTATCAGTCGGTGTCTCATGGCTGAGATGACTGTGTTGTTACAGTTTGGTTGTTTTGTACAATCATCATGTACGTTGGATCTTAGGTGGGCCGATGAATTCTTACTGAAAATTTATTGTATTTATATATATAGGAAACTTTGAAGTAGCAGTTGTATTAGCTATTAATATTATATGTTAATGAATGCCAAGTCAGTATGTTGGGTGTTCATAAATAAGTTTACTCATTCAATTAGTTCACTCTGAAAGTCCTGAATTGTATTGACTTTGAAATTGAAATTCACTATTTTGGAAAGTTAATTATTATATTCTAATTGAAGTAGAACATTTCTGTTACCCTATCGCATGTAGCATTACGGCCAGCAAGGGGGCAACTTACTAATTATCATAAAATATTTTAGTTACTGGCTACCAGGCGAAACAATTTATATTGTTTTTTGTGTTTATAGGAAAACGTAATAATTATTTTCAAGAACTTTTCTAACATTGTGTCATTAAATAATTTTTATATAATATATTGATAAATAATTGTACGTAGGTTTAAAATAATTCCTTTTGTACTAAGACAAAAAAAATATTAATATATTATAAATTACACTCAAATCATACTTACTATTGCATCAATTCATTTTCCTTTCTTTTATATTCCTCAGTTATATTTTCTTTCAACTAGCTACCTCTACTCATCAATTCATTATAAGTCTTAACATATAACAACACATCTGTACTATTTACTCCAAGTATTGAAGACAAACTTTGTACTAAAATGTTTAGTTTTTGTAGATTTCTTTCAACATTTTCCTGTTCTTTGCATATATCAGTCATTGATTTCTGAAAAATTATAAATTACATACTTATATGTCAAGAAAATAAATATGCAAAAAATTAAAATCATGCATCAGAATTATTCAAAAAACTTAAAAACATATCAGAAATTTAAGAAAGTAGGTCCAAATAAAATTATAATTCTTTTAATTAATTTTTATAAAATAAAATCTTGACATACTTTACTATATATGTGGTTAAGTTTAACTAGATGGCAGCACTAAACCGTTTTAGTTTGATCCTAAAACCAATTATACCTATGCTTTTATATGATAATCCTTATTAAAAATAAAGTGTTTATCCAAATAATGAATTTGGATGAATCAATTAATAACGAACACAATACAAACTATATGCAGACAAAACCTCTTTAGAATTCAATGTATTCACCGTGCGGGTGCCAGGTCCATCGTTGTAGTGAGAGGAGCTTCAACAGTGTCTGTGACTTGCGACTCAGATGTAGGTTTAAAGGGTCCCTATCTAACGCGCGTTAAACGCTCACCTCCACTGTCCAAGCTCCTCTCTCTACCTAACCAAATTTGAAAAGAACCTACAAGGACTGCCTTCGAAGTACGATCCAGGAATGAGTTAATGTGAGTTCTGGACAGGCCCAAGTCATTTAGTAGGTAGTAGCCCTAGTAGGGCTGCCTTATAAAACACATATACTCACGATTCTATCAGCAACTATTTCGCTCTCCTGTATCACATACAACCGTAGATGAGCCGCGAACTGCATGACATCTTCCATAGTACGTAGCTCCCTTCTTAATGCGTAGTACACGAGACGATCTAACGTTACGACCTGCTGACATACATCCACTAGGCATGATAGGTCTTTGTAGATTTGTCTGGAAAATAATACAAAATTCATTACTAACTTTATTCATTACTGTTGTGTTTTTAATCCCCGACGCAAAAACGTCAGGGTTATAAGTTTGACGTGTCTGTGTGTATATATGTCTGTCTGATGTAATGTAGCTCCCAAACGGATGAGCCGATTTTAATGCGGTTTTTTTGTTTGAAAGGTATATCCGTTGAGTGTTCTTAGCTATGTTTTTTTAGAAATCGATTCATCAATCGATTCGCGTTTGTTAGGCGTGATAGGAATATTTCGTCCTATCCAGAATAGAATAAAACGAACTCGTCAGGTACTAAAAAATGCAATCTGTTTTTCTAGATGTTGTTCATTTACGCTGCTAATTTGTTGAAACTTCTTTGTTGGAGCAATATAAATGTACAGGATGTTGTACGTTTTACAATCTGAATTCTTAAAATGTTTTATACCTTGTTATATTAAGCCAGTAGAGAATTTACCGAAATTAACATAAAGACCGCAGCAGACAAAAATTATGTAATAAGAAGTTTATTTACTTTAAAGAAATTTTACTTTGAAAGTTTTAAGTCCATTGTTTATTTACGCTAAAATAATTTTGTTTGTTTTTCGATAAAATGTATCTAAATTATAAGTAAATTTTTCACAAATTCACAAATATTGTCTTAAAACAAACCAATAAGATTTCAACAAAGAAGGATTCAAATTAATTTTATCCATTATTTTATTATTAAGTTTTGTTTGTAAAAAGATAGGTTAGTTTAACCCTATCCATAACATTATGAGAGATTCTATTTCAAGTCAGAGAACGTTGTTAAGTATGTTTCTTAAGCCAAATTGAATTTAGATTTAGTTCCTTAGTTCCCAAATTGTCTTATAGTCAAACAGAATATTATATTTATAGGTGGACTTGAAAGCAATAAATTGCAATTCGATTTCAAGCCAGATGCTATTACAACTGTCCCCGATCTTTTTGTAGTGACAATTGTTCCTAAATATGTTTTTTCTTACGCTATGACTTCTACTCATTGGAATTGTTAAATATTTCTCCAATATCAACGTTTTTATTTGTTGAACGAATTATAATCTTGAAAACTGTTTGTAGAAGGTGTCTTTCAAACGGAATAAAGGCGTTTATCTAATGATATATATAATTTTAAACTTAATACGGAATCATTTCAATGAAAGTGTGGGAGGTCGTAAAGTTTTTTTTTCTTTTCTCTCGTGACACCTGTCTGCCAAATTCATAATACTGGGTCAACGGGAACATCCAAATAGGTTTTATATTGCCAGCGTCAAATATGAGATATAAACGGAGCATAAATTTGACCGCCCCAAAGTAGATCATTCTCCTTGCCGCAGACATTTTTGAATATATGTAATAATAATTAATCATTTATAAGCCTCTAGTAACGATTACGGACACTTATTTCTGACCTAAATTTGTTAAATCAAATCCATTAGTAACATTAAGAACTGAGTTTAAAATTAATACTTCTTGACAGATTAAGATACATAGTTTAATTTCTGTAGCTAATATAAGCTGTGACGTAAAACGCAATATTTTAAATGTCATTTCCAGTCACATTTCCAGATGTAACGTTTACTTAAAATTTTAATAATGTTTTCAAATTAGTTACAAAATAGTATAAGGTAGGTATAAATATTATGATTAAAGTTTTGTTCCACAAATAAAAGAACTGTTTTCATTTAGAACGACGAAGTAGCAAAGATGGGGCATTATTTTTATGAATTTAAATTAGATATGGTCCTTAGTTTAACAAGGATTTCTAATAATGAAATGAGTAACATTTGCAATACTAAAAGGTAAAGTTACATATTTATGCATACTGAAACGAACTCGTCGGGTTTGATATGACACACTAAACTTTGTTCAAAACAGCAAAATGAGCGAAAAATACTTGATAACTCATGAAAAGCATCAAAGTATATAAAATTATATGTTGTTTTAAGTAATATCTACTGCTGTCTTATAAAATTTTCATGTTATTTCTGAGCAATATTCGCAAAATATATTTCTATAGTACATGTAATATTTAATTTAAAATAGCATAAATTTTTGATGATTTGTATTCAAGTTCATTTAAGTGAAAAACATTTTTTTATTTAATTTAATAACGGTTTCAAACAATATTACTTTTTTTTGTTAGAGATTTTTAATAAAGAATATTATTTAGAAGTTGACTGAATACTGTAAGGAAAATGAAATTTCTGTTATGACCGAAATGAAATTGTTATTAAGGAATTTGAAATTAAAATTTATTTTAATATTTTCAAATAATAATTAATTACATATTTATATATTTAAATAAGTTTTCTAAATTCCATTCTATAATAAAATTCACTTTAAGAGATGGCTATAACTTATAAGCGTATCAGACGTGGAATGTAATAATATTTTTAAAACACTCATATCTTTACAATTTATTGATCTTGTATTTTAATATAAAAAGAATAAAACGCAAATATATACTTTTGGTAACATTATAATTGTTAGGGTTAATTGTTTGTATTTAATTAATATTCATGAGCTTGAGCATCTTAAGTATCTTAGATAATTGGACGTGATATTATGACCATCTGACGATGTGTCGTAGTTAACAACGTCACTCATATGACCACAACAAATTTGATATCCATAATTGTAACAATATGCAGAGCAAACACCGGTATGACCGTATCGGCATGTCTTCGGAAGATGAAGCATCAATTCTTGATCCTGCCCCATCTACTGTACGAGACGGGGGACTGGTCCAAGAACGTAACGAACACCAACCAAGAGGGAATACATCACCAGGCAGGTGCAGAGCACGCACCGCCTGTCAGAATGGCCGTATCGGCGCTATCAGCTTTAATGACGGATGAGACGTGAAAATAATTTGAGGCTGTCATCAATTCTTATTAAAACTCATTAGTATTTATGATTATTGTTAAAAGTAAAACGAAATCAAATATTGTTTGAAAGGAGAATAGAACTAGATTTAAATCTTGGTATAAATATGACGTCTGGACGCACGACGGCAGACTTGAGAATTCAGAGTTCAGTGAGTGCGTATCATTGAAGTATGTGACTATGAAGAACCTTCAAGAAATACAGGAATATTAAGAACAATTGAAGTTTCATTTTAAAATATCATGGAGCTTTAGAAGAAGTGGCATTTGTAACGTCAGCGAGGCTGGCGTCTCTCTCTTAGAAAACAATGAATCCCTACTAATATTATAAATGCGAAAGTAACTCTGTCTGTCTGTCTGTCTGTCTGTCTGCTACGCTTTCACGCCTAAACCACTGAACTGATTTTAATGAAATTCGGTACAGAGATAGAGTTGACCTTGAGAAAGAACATAGGATAGTTTTTATCCCAGACTTTTGAAAGGTTCTCTTGGAAACGCGATATAACCGAACTCCACGCAGCGAAGCTGCGGGCGGAAAGCTAGTTTGTAATAAATCCGATATATACAAATATTTTACTTATAATAAGTTTTAATAATTGCAATTCAACAATTGACAATATCACATCTCGTCTGCCCGTGATCACGGTTGCTGTAAAGTAGCCAAAACGTCGGGAGTATGAAGTTTATAGTCAAAAATAAAAACGCGTAGTAAATCCGAAAATATTAGTTTCATTTAATTGACAATATCATTTGATTTCATTGTTTTTTATACAATTTGAAATATATGTACATGTCATGTACTTAACATGTACATTTGTAAATTTCACCAAAACTATATGACAACAAAATTCACAGTGTAGACAAAAATTCTATATATTTGTGAGAAACCTATAAATCATAATTATCCATTTAAATTATGTTCCTTTTGAAAATTCGCTTCATTAATAACTAGCTGACCCGGCGAACCCTATATCTGTTACCTTTTATCTGAATAAAACTAATTTCTTTATTAAGTATAACTGACCCGACAGACAATGGTCTGTCTTCTTACTGTGATTATTGGATTCTTATTGGTATATTAATACATATAAACATTATTCCAAAAACAAAGTGTTTATTATTCTAATACTTTATTCTAACTACGTGATATTACCGCCAGTGACATATTATTTTAACATAAAAGTGAAACATTGTAGTTATTTTCTTTTCTAGTAATTTTCGTATTTTTTTATTACATAAGAACCTTCTCCTATCAATAACAAATACATTATACAACAAAAAAAGAATCAGTGAAATCGGTCCAGCAATTCACGCGTGATGCCGTGACCAAGGGAAAAAGGTATTAAAATTTTTATATATGTGCATACATAGATTGTTCCTCATTTCTCTGAATTTTAGTTTTAGCTCTTAATAAATGCCCTGCGATTGAAAATAATTTCCATATGACAATCTTTCTTAAAGTAGCCCAAATGTGTGCAAGTTAAAAAAATCAATCTAAATGCTGTACAATTTCTTTTGCATTGAACTTGACGACAACTTTTGTAATATAATCCCTGCTTCGTAAAGGTCACTAATAGTTCCATACTATGATTTAAGAAAGAAGACACCAGGTTTAGAAGATTATATAAATACAGACAAATCAAATGTTTTTGATAAACCTTAGCATTAAGTGTCATAAAAATATAAATATGCATAAACGTATTAATACATATTTGGTTGGCAACTAGAATATTATCCGGGACTTTATTGTAAATAGTTTTATATGGTAAAATTCATATTTGGTCTGAAATTTGAAAATTGAAATAGTTTAAATATATTGCAATAGCTAAATATGTAGCAAGAATTCCACAGAGGTATATTTCCTTTATTTATATTACACAAAATTACTTAATATTATACAAAGTGGTTAACTAGAGCTGTAACGTTCATACAAATGCAATTTAACTATACCGTGTTTTTAAAACAGCTTATAGAATCTTACTTATACAATAATGAAAATAAAGGCATCTAATATCTTTCTTAACATATGTACATATATATTGGACGTTCTAACTCTTGCTAACCGACTTTGTTGTTGTTGTCCGATATGGCCTGGAGATTTTGAGTTACTATATAAGTATGAAACATATAATAACAGCTACAAAGAATCACTATCAGGATCTGCTTGTCCGATATGGCCTGGAGATTTTGAGTTACTATATAAGTATGAAACATATAATAACAGCTACAAAGAATCACTATCAGGATCTGCTTGTCCGATATGGCCTGGAGATTTTGAGTTACTATATAAGTATGAAACATATAATAACAGCTACAAAGAATCACTATCAGGATCTGGTTGTCCGATATGGCCTGGAGATTTTGAGTTACTATATAAGTATGAAACATATAATAACAGCTACAAAGAATCACTATCAGGATCTGCTTGTCCGATATGGCCTGGAGATTTTGAGTTACTATATAAGTATGAAACATATAATAACAGCTACAAAGAATCACTATCAGGATCTGCTTGTCCGATATGGCCTGGAGATTTTGAGTTACTATATAAGTATGAAACATATAATAACAGCTACAAAGAATCACTATCAGGATCTGCTTGTCCGATATGGCCTGGAGATTTTGAGTTACTATATAAGTATGAAACATATAATAACAGCTACAAAGAATCACTATCAGGATCTGCTTGTCCGATATGGCCTGGAGATTTTGAGTTACTATATAAGTATGAAACATATAATAACAGCTACAAAGAATCACTATCAGGATCTGCTTGTCCGATATGGCCTGGAGATTTTGAGTTACTATATAAGTATGAAACATATAATAACAGCTACAAAGAATCACTATCAGGATCTGGTTGTCCGATATGGCCTGGAGATTTTGAGTTACTATATAAGTATGAAACATATAATAACAGCTACAAAGAATCACTATCAGGATCTGGTTGTCCGATATGGCCTGGAGATTTTGAGTTACTATATAAGTATGAAACATATAATAACAGCTACAAAGAATCACTATCAGGATCTGCTTGTCCGATATGGCCTGGAGATTTTGAGTTACTATATAAGTATGAAACATATAATAACAGCTACAAAGAATCACTATCAGGATCTGGTTGTCCGATATGGCCTGGAGATTTTGAGTTACTATATAAGTATGAAACATATAATAACAGCTACAAAGAATCACTATCAGGATCTGGTTGTCCGATATGGCCTGGAGATTTTGAGTTACTATATAAGTATGAAACATATAATAACAGCTACAAAGAATCACTATCAGGATCTGGTTGTCCGATATGGCCTGGAGATTTTGAGTTACTATATAAGTATGAAACATATAATAACAGCTACAAAGAATCACTATCAGGATCTGCTTGTCCGATATGGCCTGGAGATTTTGAGTTACTATATAAGTATGAAACATATAATAACAGCTACAAAGAATCACTATCAGGATCTGCTTGTCCGATATGGCCTGGAGATTTTGAGTTACTATATAAGTATGAAACATATAATAACAGCTACAAAGAATCACTATCAGGATCTGCTTGTCCGATATGGCCTGGAGATTTTGAGTTACTATATAAGTATGAAACATATAATAACAGCTACAAAGAATCACTATCAGGATCTGGTTGTCCGATATGGCCTGGAGATTTTGAGTTACTATATAAGTATGAAACATATAATAACAGCTACAAAGAATCACTATCAGGATCTGGTTGTCCGATATGGCCTGGAGATTTTGAGTTACTATATAAGTATGAAACATATAATAACAGCTACAAAGAATCACTATCAGGATCTGGTTGTCCGATATGGCCTGGAGATTTTGAGTTACTATATAAGTATGAAACATATAATAACAGCTACAAAGAATCACTATCAGGATCTGGTTGTCCGATATGGCCTGGAGATTTTGAGTTACTATATAAGTATGAAACATATAATAACAGCTACAAAGAATCACTATCAGGATCTGGTTGTCCGATATGGCCTGGAGATTTTGAGTTACTATATAAGTATGAAACATATAATAACAGCTACAAAGAATCACTATCAGGATCTGGTTGTCCGATATGGCCTGGAGATTTTGAGTTACTATATAAGTATGAAACATATAATAACAGCTACAAAGAATCACTATCAGGATCTGGTTGTCCGATATGGCCTGGAGATTTTGAGTTACTATATAAGTATGAAACATATAATAACAGCTACAAAGAATCACTATCAGGATCTGGTTGTCCGATATGGCCTGGAGATTTTGAGTTACTATATAAGTATGAAACATATAATAACAGCTACAAAGAATCACTATCAGGATCTGATTGTCCGATATGGCCTGGAGATTTTGAGTTACTATATAAGTATGAAACATATAATAACAGCTACAAAGAATCACTATCAGGATCTGGTTGTCCGATATGGCCTGGAGATTTTGAGTTACTATATAAGTATGAAACATATAATAACAGCTACAAAGAATCACTATCAGGATCTGGTTGTCCGATATGGCCTGGAGATTTTGAGTTACTATATAAGTATGAAACATATAATAACAGCTACAAAGAATCACTATCAGGATCTGGTTGTCCGATATGGCCTGGAGATTTTGAGTTACTATATAAGTATGAAACATATAATAACAGCTACAAAGAATCACTATCAGGATCTGGTTGTCCGATATGGCCTGGAGATTTTGAGTTACTATATAAGTATGAAACATATAATAACAGCTACAAAGAATCACTATCAGGATCTGGTTGTCCGATATGGCCTGGAGATTTTGAGTTACTATATAAGTATGAAACATATAATAACAGCTACAAAGAATCACTATCAGGATCTGGTTGTCCGATATGGCCTGGAGATTTTGAGTTACTATATAAGTATGAAACATATAATAACAGCTACAAAGAATCACTATCAGGATCTGCTTGTCCGATATGGCCTGGAGATTTTGAGTTACTATATAAGTATGAAACATATAATAACAGCTACAAAGAATCACTATCAGGATCTGGTTGTCCGATATGGCCTGGAGATTTTGAGTTACTATATAAGTATGAAACATATAATAACAGCTACAAAGAATCACTATCAGGATCTGGTTGTCCGATATGGCCTGGAGATTTTGAGTTACTATATAAGTATGAAACATATAATAACAGCTTCAAAGAATCACTATCAGGATCTGCTTGTCCGATATGGCCTGGAGATTTTGAGTTACTATATAAGTATGAAACATATAATAACAGCTACAAAGAATCACTATCAGGATCTGGTTGTCCGATATGGCCTGGAGATTTTGAGTTACTATATAAGTATGAAACATATAATAACAGCTACAAAGAATCACTATCAGGATCTGGTTGTCCGATATGGCCTGGAGATTTTGAGTTACTATATAAGTATGAAACATATAATAACAGCTACAAAGAATCACTATCAGGATCTGGTTGTCCGATATGGCCTGGAGATTTTGAGTTACTATATAAGTATGAAACATATAATAACAGCTACAAAGAATCACTATCAGGATCTGGTTGTCCGATATGGCCTGGAGATTTTGAGTTACTATATAAGTATGAAACATATAATAACAGCTACAAAGAATCACTATCAGGATCTGGTTGTCCGATATGGCCTGGAGATTTTGAGTTACTATATAAGTATGAAACATATAATAACAGCTACAAAGAATCACTATCAGGATCTGGTTGTCCGATATGGCCTGGAGATTTTGAGTTACTATATAAGTATGAAACATATAATAACAGCTACAAAGAATCACTATCAGGATCTGGTTGTCCGATATGGCCTGGAGATTTTGAGTTACTATATAAGTATGAAACATATAATAACAGCTACAAAGAATCACTATCAGGATCTGGTTGTCCGATATGGCCTGGAGATTTTGAGTTACTATATAAGTATGAAACATATAATAACAGCTACAAAGAATCACTATCAGGATCTGATTGTCCGATATGGCCTGGAGATTTTGAGTTACTATATAAGTATGAAACATATAATAACAGCTACAAAGAATCACTATCAGGATCTGGTTGTCCGATATGGCCTGGAGATTTTGAGTTACTATATAAGTATGAAACATATAATAACAGCTACAAAGAATCACTATCAGGATCTGGTTGTCCGATATGGCCTGGAGATTTTGAGTTACTATATAAGTATGAAACATATAATAACAGCTACAAAGAATCACTATCAGGATCTGGTTGTCCGATATGGCCTGGAGATTTTGAGTTACTATATAAGTATGAAACATATAATAACAGCTACAAAGAATCACTATCAGGATCTGCTTGTCCGATATGGCCTGGAGATTTTGAGTTACTATATAAGTATGAAACATATAATAACAGCTACAAAGAATCACTATCAGGATCTGGTTGTCCGATATGGCCTGGAGATTTTGAGTTACTATATAAGTATGAAACATATAATAACAGCTACAAAGAATCACTATCAGGATCTGGTTGTCCGATATGGCCTGGAGATTTTGAGTTACTATATAAGTATGAAACATATAATAACAGCTACAAAGAATCACTATCAGGATCTGCTTGTCCGATATGGCCTGGAGATTTTGAGTTACTATATAAGTATGAAACATATAATAACAGCTACAAAGAATCACTATCAGGATCTGGTTGTCCGATATGGCCTGGAGATTTTGAGTTACTATATAAGTATGAAACATATAATAACAGCTACAAAGAATCACTATCAGGATCTGGTTGTCCGATATGGCCTGGAGATTTTGAGTTACTATATAAGTATGAAACATATAATAACAGCTACAAAGAATCACTATCAGGATCTGCTTGTCCGATATGGCCTGGAGATTTTGAGTTACTATATAAGTATGAAACATATAATAACAGCAACAAAGAATCACTATCAGGATCTGGTTGTCCGATATGGCCTGGAGATTTTGAGTTACTATATAAGTATGAAACATATAATAACAGCTACAAAGAATCACTATCAGGATCTGCTTGTCCGATATGGCCTGGAGATTTTGAGTTACTATATAAGTATGAAACATATAATAACAGCTACAAAGAATCACTATCAGGATCTGGTTGTCCGATATGGCCTGGAGATTTTGAGTTACTATATAAGTATGAAACATATAATAACAGCTACAAAGAATCACTATCAGGATCTGGTTGTCCGATATGGCCTGGAGATTTTGAGTTACTATATAAGTATGAAACATATAATAACAGCTACAAAGAATCACTATCAGGATCTGGTTGTCCGATATGGCCTGGAGATTTTGAGTTACTATATAAGTATGAAACATATAATAACAGCTACAAAGAATCACTATCAGGATCTGGTTGTCCGATATGGCCTGGAGATTTTGAGTTACTATATAAGTATGAAACATATAATAACAGCTACAAAGAATCACTATCAGGATCTGGTTGTCCGATATGGCCTGGAGATTTTGAGTTACTATATAAGTATGAAACATATAATAACAGCTACAAAGAATCACTATCAGGATCTGGTTGTCCGATATGGCCTGGAGATTTTGAGTTACTATATAAGTATGAAACATATAATAACAGCTACAAAGAATCACTATCAGGATCTGGTTGTCCGATATGGCCTGGAGATTTTGAGTTACTATATAAGTATGAAACATATAATAACAGCTACAAAGAATCACTATCAGGATCTGCTTGTCCGATATGGCCTGGAGATTTTGAGTTACTATATAAGTATGAAACATATAATAACAGCTACAAAGAATCACTATCAGGATCTGCTTGTCCGATATGGCCTGGAGATTTTGAGTTACTATATAAGTATGAAACATATAATAACAGCTACAAAGAATCACTATCAGGATCTGGTTGTCCGATATGGCCTGGAGATTTTGAGTTACTATATAAGTATGAAACATATAATAACAGCTACAAAGAATCACTATCAGGATCTGCTTGTCCGATATGGCCTGGAGATTTTGAGTTACTATATAAGTATGAAACATATAATAACAGCTACAAAGAATCACTATCAGGATCTGCTTGTCCGATATGGCCTGGAGATTTTGAGTTACTATATAAGTATGAAACATATAATAACAGCTACAAAGAATCACTATCAGGATCTGGTTGTCCGATATGGCCTGGAGATTTTGAGTTACTATATAAGTATGAAACATATAATAACAGCTACAAAGAATCACTATCAGGATCTGCTTGTCCGATATGGCCTGGAGATTTTGAGTTACTATATAAGTATGAAACATATAATAACAGCTACAAAGAATCACTATCAGGATCTGCTTGTCCGATATGGCCTGGAGATTTTGAGTTACTATATAAGTATGAAACATATAATAACAGCTACAAAGAATCACTATCAGGATCTGCTTGTCCGATATGGCCTGGAGATTTTGAGTTACTATATAAGTATGAAACATATAATAACAGCTACAAAGAATCACTATCAGGATCTGCTTGTCCGATATGGCCTGGAGATTTTGAGTTACTATATAAGTATGAAACATATAATAACAGCTACAAAGAATCACTATCAGGATCTGGTTGTCCGATATGGCCTGGAGATTTTGAGTTACTATATAAGTATGAAACATATAATAACAGCTACAAAGAATCACTATCAGGATCTGGTTGTCCGATATGGCCTGGAGATTTTGAGTTACTATATAAGTATGAAACATATAATAACAGCTACAAAGAATCACTATCAGGATCTGGTTGTCCGATATGGCCTGGAGATTTTGAGTTACTATATAAGTATGAAACATATAATAACAGCTACAAAGAATCACTATCAGGATCTGGTTGTCCGATATGGCCTGGAGATTTTGAGTTACTATATAAGTATGAAACATATAATAACAGCTACAAAGAATCACTATCAGGATCTGGTTGTCCGATATGGCCTGGAGATTTTGAGTTACTATATAAGTATGAAACATATAATAACAGCTACAAAGAATCACTATCAGGATCTGATTGTCCGATATGGCCTGGAGATTTTGAGTTACTATATAAGTATGAAACATATAATAACAGCTACAAAGAATCACTATCAGGATCTGGTTGTCCGATATGGCCTGGAGATTTTGAGTTACTATATAAGTATGAAACATATAATAACAGCTACAAAGAATCACTATCAGGATCTGGTTGTCCGATATGGCCTGGAGATTTTGAGTTACTATATAAGTATGAAACATATAATAACAGCTACAAAGAATCACTATCAGGATCTGCTTGTCCGATATGGCCTGGAGATTTTGAGTTACTATATAAGTATGAAACATATAATAACAGCTACAAAGAATCACTATCAGGATCTGGTTGTCCGATATGGCCTGGAGATTTTGAGTTACTATATAAGTATGAAACATATAATAACAGCTACAAAGAATCACTATCAGGATCTGGTTGTCCGATATGGCCTGGAGATTTTGAGTTACTATATAAGTATGAAACATATAATAACAGCTACAAAGAATCACTATCAGGATCTGGTTGTCCGATATGGCCTGGAGATTTTGAGTTACTATATAAGTATGAAACATATAATAACAGCTACAAAGAATCACTATCAGGATCTGGTTGTCCGATATGGCCTGGAGATTTTGAGTTACTATATAAGTATGAAACATATAATAACAGCTACAAAGAATCACTATCAGGATCTGGTTGTCCGATATGGCCTGGAGATTTTGAGTTACTATATAAGTATGAAACATATAATAACAGCTACAAAGAATCACTATCAGGATCTGGTTGTCCGATATGGCCTGGAGATTTTGAGTTACTATATAAGTATGAAACATATAATAACAGCTACAAAGAATCACTATCAGGATCTGATTGTCCGATATGGCCTGGAGATTTTGAGTTACTATATAAGTATGAAACATATAATAACAGCTACAAAGAATCACTATCAGGATCTGGTTGTCCGATATGGCCTGGAGATTTTGAGTTACTATATAAGTATGAAACATATAATAACAGCTACAAAGAATCACTATCAGGATCTGGTTGTCCGATATGGCCTGGAGATTTTGAGTTACTATATAAGTATGAAACATATAATAACAGCTACAAAGAATCACTATCAGGATCTGCTTGTCCGATATGGCCTGGAGATTTTGAGTTACTATATAAGTATGAAACATATAATAACAGCTACAAAGAATCACTATCAGGATCTGGTTGTCCGATATGGCCTGGAGATTTTGAGTTACTATATAAGTATGAAACATATAATAACAGCTACAAAGAATCACTATCAGGATCTGGTTGTCCGATATGGCCTGGAGATTTTGAGTTACTATATAAGTATGAAACATATAATAACAGCTACAAAGAATCACTATCAGGATCTGGTTGTCCGATATGGCCTGGAGATTTTGAGTTACTATATAAGTATGAAACATATAATAACAGCTACAAAGAATCACTATCAGGATCTGCTTGTCCGATATGGCCTGGAGATTTTGAGTTACTATATAAGTATGAAACATATAATAACAGCTACAAAGAATCACTATCAGGATCTGGTTGTCCGATATGGCCTGGAGATTTTGAGTTACTATATAAGTATGAAACATATAATAACAGCTACAAAGAATCACTATCAGGATCTGGTTGTCCGATATGGCCTGGAGATTTTGAGTTACTATATAAGTATGAAACATATAATAACAGCTACAAAGAATCACTATCAGGATCTGGTTGTCCGATATGGCCTGGAGATTTTGAGTTACTATATAAGTATGAAACATATAATAACAGCTACAAAGAATCACTATCAGGATCTGGTTGTCCGATATGGCCTGGAGATTTTGAGTTACTATATAAGTATGAAACATATAATAACAGCTACAAAGAATCACTATCAGGATCTGGTTGTCCGATATGGCCTGGAGATTTTGAGTTACTATATAAGTATGAAACATATAATAACAGCTACAAAGAATCACTATCAGGATCTGGTTGTCCGATATGGCCTGGAGATTTTGAGTTACTATATAAGTATGAAACATATAATAACAGCTACAAAGAATCACTATCAGGATCTGCTTGTCCGATATGGCCTGGAGATTTTGAGTTACTATATAAGTATGAAACATATAATAACAGCTACAAAGAATCACTATCAGGATCTGGTTGTCCGATATGGCCTGGAGATTTTGAGTTACTATATAAGTATGAAACATATAATAACAGCTACAAAGAATCACTATCAGGATCTGGTTGTCCGATATGGCCTGGAGATTTTGAGTTACTATATAAGTATGAAACATATAATAACAGCTACAAAGAATCACTATCAGGATCTGGTTGTCCGATATGGCCTGGAGATTTTGAGTTACTATATAAGTATGAAACATATAATAACAGCTACAAAGAATCACTATCAGGATCTGCTTGTCCGATATGGCCTGGAGATTTTGAGTTACTATATAAGTATGAAACATATAATAACAGCTACAAAGAATCACTATCAGGATCTGGTTGTCCGATATGGCCTGGAGATTTTGAGTTACTATATAAGTATGAAACATATAATAACAGCTACAAAGAATCACTATCAGGATCTGGTTGTCCGATATGGCCTGGAGATTTTGAGTTACTATATAAGTATGAAACATATAATAACAGCTACAAAGAATCACTATCAGGATCTGGTTGTCCGATATGGCCTGGAGATTTTGAGTTACTATATAAGTATGAAACATATAATAACAGCTACAAAGAATCACTATCAGGATCTGCTTGTCCGATATGGCCTGGAGATTTTGAGTTACTATATAAGTATGAAACATATAATAACAGCTACAAAGAATCACTATCAGGATCTGGTTGTCCGATATGGCCTGGAGATTTTGAGTTACTATATAAGTATGAAACATATAATAACAGCTACAAAGAATCACTATCAGGATCTGGTTGTCCGATATGGCCTGGAGATTTTGAGTTACTATATAAGTATGAAACATATAATAACAGCTACAAAGAATCACTATCAGGATCTGGTTGTCCGATATGGCCTGGAGATTTTGAGTTACTATATAAGTATGAAACATATAATAACAGCTACAAAGAATCACTATCAGGATCTGCTTGTCCGATATGGCCTGGAGATTTTGAGTTACTATATAAGTATGAAACATATAATAACAGCTACAAAGAATCACTATCAGGATCTGCTTGTCCGATATGGCCTGGAGATTTTGAGTTACTATATAAGTATGAAACATATAATAACAGCTACAAAGAATCACTATCAGGATCTGGTTGTCCGATATGGCCTGGAGATTTTGAGTTACTATATAAGTATGAAACATATAATAACAGCTACAAAGAATCACTATCAGGATCTGGTTGTCCGATATGGCCTGGAGATTTTGAGTTACTATATAAGTATGAAACATATAATAACAGCTACAAAGAATCACTATCAGGATCTGGTTGTCCGATATGGCCTGGAGATTTTGAGTTACTATATAAGTATGAAACATATAATAACAGCTACAAAGAATCACTATCAGGATCTGGTTGTCCGATATGGCCTGGAGATTTTGAGTTACTATATAAGTATGAAACATATAATAACAGCTACAAAGAATCACTATCAGGATCTGCTTGTCCGATATGGCCTGGAGATTTTGAGTTACTATATAAGTATGAAACATATAATAACAGCTACAAAGAATCACTATCAGGATCTGGTTGTCCGATATGGCCTGGAGATTTTGAGTTACTATATAAGTATGAAACATATAATAACAGCTACAAAGAATCACTATCAGGATCTGGTTGTCCGATATGGCCTGGAGATTTTGAGTTACTATATAAGTATGAAACATATAATAACAGCTACAAAGAATCACTATCAGGATCTGGTTGTCCGATATGGCCTGGAGATTTTGAGTTACTATATAAGTATGAAACATATAATAACAGCTACAAAGAATCACTATCAGGATCTGCTTGTCCGATATGGCCTGGAGATTTTGAGTTACTATATAAGTATGAAACATATAATAACAGCTACAAAGAATCACTATCAGGATCTGGTTGTCCGATATGGCCTGGAGATTTTGAGTTACTATATAAGTATGAAACATATAATAACAGCTACAAAGAATCACTATCAGGATCTGGTTGTCCGATATGGCCTGGAGATTTTGAGTTACTATATAAGTATGAAACATATAATAACAGCTACAAAGAATCACTATCAGGATCTGGTTGTCCGATATGGCCTGGAGATTTTGAGTTACTATATAAGTATGAAACATATAATAACAGCTACAAAGAATCACTATCAGGATCTGGTTGTCCGATATGGCCTGGAGATTTTGAGTTACTATATAAGTATGAAACATATAATAACAGCTACAAAGAATCACTATCAGGATCTGGTTGTCCGATATGGCCTGGAGATTTTGAGTTACTATATAAGTATGAAACATATAATAACAGCTACAAAGAATCACTATCAGGATCTGGTTGTCCGATATGGCCTGGAGATTTTGAGTTACTATATAAGTATGAAACATATAATAACAGCTACAAAGAATCACTATCAGGATCTGGTTGTCCGATATGGCCTGGAGATTTTGAGTTACTATATAAGTATGAAACATATAATAACAGCTACAAAGAATCACTATCAGGATCTGGTTGTCCGATATGGCCTGGAGATTTTGAGTTACTATATAAGTATGAAACATATAATAACAGCTACAAAGAATCACTATCAGGATCTGCTTGTCCGATATGGCCTGGAGATTTTGAGTTACTATATAAGTATGAAACATATAATAACAGCTACAAAGAATCACTATCAGGATCTGGTTGTCCGATATGGCCTGGAGATTTTGAGTTACTATATAAGTATGAAACATATAATAACAGCTACAAAGAATCACTATCAGGATCTGGTTGTCCGATATGGCCTGGAGATTTTGAGTTACTATATAAGTATGAAACATATAATAACAGCTACAAAGAATCACTATCAGGATCTGGTTGTCCGATATGGCCTGGAGATTTTGAGTTACTATATAAGTATGAAACATATAATAACAGCTACAAAGAATCACTATCAGGATCTGCTTGTCCGATATGGCCTGGAGATTTTGAGTTACTATATAAGTATGAAACATATAATAACAGCTACAAAGAATCACTATCAGGATCTGGTTGTCCGATATGGCCTGGAGATTTTGAGTTACTATATAAGTATGAAACATATAATAACAGCTACAAAGAATCACTATCAGGATCTGGTTGTCCGATATGGCCTGGAGATTTTGAGTTACTATATAAGTATGAAACATATAATAACAGCTACAAAGAATCACTATCAGGATCTGGTTGTCCGATATGGCCTGGAGATTTTGAGTTACTATATAAGTATGAAACATATAATAACAGCTACAAAGAATCACTATCAGGATCTGGTTGTCCGATATGGCCTGGAGATTTTGAGTTACTATATAAGTATGAAACATATAATAACAGCTACAAAGAATCACTATCAGGATCTGGTTGTCCGATATGGCCTGGAGATTTTGAGTTACTATATAAGTATGAAACATATAATAACAGCTACAAAGAATCACTATCAGGATCTGGTTGTCCGATATGGCCTGGAGATTTTGAGTTACTATATAAGTATGAAACATATAATAACAGCTACAAAGAATCACTATCAGGATCTGATTGTCCGATATGGCCTGGAGATTTTGAGTTACTATATAAGTATGAAACATATAATAACAGCTACAAAGAATCACTATCAGGATCTGGTTGTCCGATATGGCCTGGAGATTTTGAGTTACTATATAAGTATGAAACATATAATAACAGCTACAAAGAATCACTATCAGGATCTGGTTGTCCGATATGGCCTGGAGATTTTGAGTTACTATATAAGTATGAAACATATAATAACAGCTACAAAGAATCACTATCAGGATCTGCTTGTCCGATATGGCCTGGAGATTTTGAGTTACTATATAAGTATGAAACATATAATAACAGCTACAAAGAATCACTATCAGGATCTGGTTGTCCGATATGGCCTGGAGATTTTGAGTTACTATATAAGTATGAAACATATAATAACAGCTACAAAGAATCACTATCAGGATCTGGTTGTCCGATATGGCCTGGAGATTTTGAGTTACTATATAAGTATGAAACATATAATAACAGCTACAAAGAATCACTATCAGGATCTGGTTGTCCGATATGGCCTGGAGATTTTGAGTTACTATATAAGTATGAAACATATAATAACAGCTACAAAGAATCACTATCAGGATCTGCTTGTCCGATATGGCCTGGAGATTTTGAGTTACTATATAAGTATGAAACATATAATAACAGCTACAAAGAATCACTATCAGGATCTGGTTGTCCGATATGGCCTGGAGATTTTGAGTTACTATATAAGTATGAAACATATAATAACAGCTACAAAGAATCACTATCAGGATCTGGTTGTCCGATATGGCCTGGAGATTTTGAGTTACTATATAAGTATGAAACATATAATAACAGCTACAAAGAATCACTATCAGGATCTGGTTGTCCGATATGGCCTGGAGATTTTGAGTTACTATATAAGTATGAAACATATAATAACAGCTACAAAGAATCACTATCAGGATCTGGTTGTCCGATATGGCCTGGAGATTTTGAGTTACTATATAAGTATGAAACATATAATAACAGCTACAAAGAATCACTATCAGGATCTGGTTGTCCGATATGGCCTGGAGATTTTGAGTTACTATATAAGTATGAAACATATAATAACAGCTACAAAGAATCACTATCAGGATCTGGTTGTCCGATATGGCCTGGAGATTTTGAGTTACTATATAAGTATGAAACATATAATAACAGCTACAAAGAATCACTATCAGGATCTGCTTGTCCGATATGGCCTGGAGATTTTGAGTTACTATATAAGTATGAAACATATAATAACAGCTACAAAGAATCACTATCAGGATCTGGTTGTCCGATATGGCCTGGAGATTTTGAGTTACTATATAAGTATGAAACATATAATAACAGCTACAAAGAATCACTATCAGGATCTGGTTGTCCGATATGGCCTGGAGATTTTGAGTTACTATATAAGTATGAAACATATAATAACAGCTACAAAGAATCACTATCAGGATCTGGTTGTCCGATATGGCCTGGAGATTTTGAGTTACTATATAAGTATGAAACATATAATAACAGCTACAAAGAATCACTATCAGGATCTGCTTGTCCGATATGGCCTGGAGATTTTGAGTTACTATATAAGTATGAAACATATAATAACAGCTACAAAGAATCACTATCAGGATCTGGTTGTCCGATATGGCCTGGAGATTTTGAGTTACTATATAAGTATGAAACATATAATAACAGCTACAAAGAATCACTATCAGGATCTGGTTGTCCGATATGGCCTGGAGATTTTGAGTTACTATATAAGTATGAAACATATAATAACAGCTACAAAGAATCACTATCAGGATCTGGTTGTCCGATATGGCCTGGAGATTTTGAGTTACTATATAAGTATGAAACATATAATAACAGCTACAAAGAATCACTATCAGGATCTGGTTGTCCGATATGGCCTGGAGATTTTGAGTTACTATATAAGTATGAAACATATAATAACAGCTACAAAGAATCACTATCAGGATCTGATTGTCCGATATGGCCTGGAGATTTTGAGTTACTATATAAGTATGAAACATATAATAACAGCTACAAAGAATCACTATCAGGATCTGGTTGTCCGATATGGCCTGGAGATTTTGAGTTACTATATAAGTATGAAACATATAATAACAGCTACAAAGAATCACTATCAGGATCTGGTTGTCCGATATGGCCTGGAGATTTTGAGTTACTATATAAGTATGAAACATATAATAACAGCTACAAAGAATCACTATCAGGATCTGCTTGTCCGATATGGCCTGGAGATTTTGAGTTACTATATAAGTATGAAACATATAATAACAGCTACAAAGAATCACTATCAGGATCTGGTTGTCCGATATGGCCTGGAGATTTTGAGTTACTATATAAGTATGAAACATATAATAACAGCTACAAAGAATCACTATCAGGATCTGCTTGTCCGATATGGCCTGGAGATTTTGAGTTACTATATAAGTATGAAACATATAATAACAGCTACAAAGAATCACTATCAGGATCTGGTTGTCCGATATGGCCTGGAGATTTTGAGTTACTATATAAGTATGAAACATATAATAACAGCTACAAAGAATCACTATCAGGATCTGGTTGTCCGATATGGCCTGGAGATTTTGAGTTACTATATAAGTATGAAACATATAATAACAGCTACAAAGAATCACTATCAGGATCTGGTTGTCCGATATGGCCTGGAGATTTTGAGTTACTATATAAGTATGAAACATATAATAACAGCTACAAAGAATCACTATCAGGATCTGGTTGTCCGATATGGCCTGGAGATTTTGAGTTACTATATAAGTATGAAACATATAATAACAGCTACAAAGAATCACTATCAGGATCTGCTTGTCCGATATGGCCTGGAGATTTTGAGTTACTATATAAGTATGAAACATATAATAACAGCTACAAAGAATCACTATCAGGATCTGGTTGTCCGATATGGCCTGGAGATTTTGAGTTACTATATAAGTATGAAACATATAATAACAGCTACAAAGAATCACTATCAGGATCTGGTTGTCCGATATGGCCTGGAGATTTTGAGTTACTATATAAGTATGAAACATATAATAACAGCTACAAAGAATCACTATCAGGATCTGGTTGTCCGATATGGCCTGGAGATTTTGAGTTACTATATAAGTATGAAACATATAATAACAGCTACAAAGAATCACTATCAGGATCTGCTTGTCCGATATGGCCTGGAGATTTTGAGTTACTATATAAGTATGAAACATATAATAACAGCTACAAAGAATCACTATCAGGATCTGGTTGTCCGATATGGCCTGGAGATTTTGAGTTACTATATAAGTATGAAACATATAATAACAGCTACAAAGAATCACTATCAGGATCTGGTTGTCCGATATGGCCTGGAGATTTTGAGTTACTATATAAGTATGAAACATATAATAACAGCTACAAAGAATCACTATCAGGATCTGGTTGTCCGATATGGCCTGGAGATTTTGAGTTACTATATAAGTATGAAACATATAATAACAGCTACAAAGAATCACTATCAGGATCTGGTTGTCCGATATGGCCTGGAGATTTTGAGTTACTATATAAGTATGAAACATATAATAACAGCTACAAAGAATCACTATCAGGATCTGGTTGTCCGATATGGCCTGGAGATTTTGATTTACTATATAAGTATGAAACATATAATAACAGCTACAAAGAATCACTATCAGGATCTGGTTGTCCGATATGGCCTGGAGATTTTGAGTTACTATATAAGTATGAAACATATAATAACAGCTACAAAGAATCACTATCAGGATCTGGTTGTCCGATATGGCCTGGAGATTTTGAGTTACTATATAAGTATGAAACATATAATAACAGCTACAAAGAATCACTATCAGGATCTGGTTGTCCGATATGGCCTGGAGATTTTGAGTTACTATATAAGTATGAAACATATAATAACAGCTACAAAGAATCACTATCAGGATCTGCTTGTCCGATATGGCCTGGAGATTTTGAGTTACTATATAAGTATGAAACATATAATAACAGCTACAAAGAATCACTATCAGGATCTGGTTGTCCGATATGGCCTGGAGATTTTGAGTTACTATATAAGTATGAAACATATAATAACAGCTACAAAGAATCACTATCAGGATCTGGTTGTCCGATATGGCCTGGAGAATTTGAGTTACTATATAAGTATGAAACATATAATAACAGCTACAAAGAATCACTATCAGGATCTGGTTGTCCGATATGGCCTGGAGATTTTGAGTTACTATATAAGTATGAAACATATAATAACAGCTACAAAGAATCACTATCAGGATCTGGTTGTCCGATATGGCCTGGAGATTTTGAGTTACTATATAAGTATGAAACATATAATAACAGCTACAAAGAATCACTATCAGGATCTGGTTGTCCGATATGGCCTGGAGATTTTGAGTTACTATATAAGTATGAAACATATAATAACAGCTACAAAGAATCACTATCAGGATCTGGTTGTCCGATATGGCCTGGAGATTTTGAGTTACTATATAAGTATGAAACATATAATAACAGCTACAAAGAATCACTATCAGGATCTGCTTGTCCGATATGGCCTGGAGATTTTGAGTTACTATATAAGTATGAAACATATAATAACAGCTACAAAGAATCACTATCAGGATCTGCTTGTCCGATATGGCCTGGAGATTTTGAGTTACTATATAAGTATGAAACATATAATAACAGCTACAAAGAATCACTATCAGGATCTGGTTGTCCGATATGGCCTGGAGATTTTGAGTTACTATATAAGTATGAAACATATAATAACAGCTACAAAGAATCACTATCAGGATCTGCTTGTCCGATATGGCCTGGAGATTTTGAGTTACTATATAAGTATGAAACATATAATAACAGCTACAAAGAATCACTATCAGGATCTGCTTGTCCGATATGGCCTGGAGATTTTGAGTTACTATATAAGTATGAAACATATAATAACAGCTACAAAGAATCACTATCAGGATCTGGTTGTCCGATATGGCCTGGAGATTTTGAGTTACTATATAAGTATGAAACATATAATAACAGCTACAAAGAATCACTATCAGGATCTGCTTGTCCGATATGGCCTGGAGATTTTGAGTTACTATATAAGTATGAAACATATAATAACAGCTACAAAGAATCACTATCAGGATCTGCTTGTCCGATATGGCCTGGAGATTTTGAGTTACTATATAAGTATGAAACATATAATAACAGCTATAAAGAATCACTATCAGGATCTGGTTGTCCGATATGGCCTGGAGATTTTGAGTTACTATATAAGTATGAAACATATAATAACAGCTACAAAGAATCACTATCAGGATCTGCTTGTCCGATATGGCCTGGAGATTTTGAGTTACTATATAAGTATGAAACATATAATAACAGCTACAAAGAATCACTATCAGGATCTGCTTGTCCGATATGGCCTGGAGATTTTGAGTTACTATATAAGTATGAAACATATAATAACAGCTACAAAGAATCACTATCAGGATCTGGTTGTCCGATATGGCCTGGAGATTTTGAGTTACTATATAAGTATGAAACATATAATAACAGCTACAAAGAATCACTATCAGGATCTGGTTGTCCGATATGGCCTGGAGATTTTGAGTTACTATATAAGTATGAAACATATAATAACAGCTACAAAGAATCACTATCAGGATCTGGTTGTCCGATATGGCCTGGAGATTTTGAGTTACTATATAAGTATGAAACATATAATAACAGCTACAAAGAATCACTATCAGGATCTGGTTGTCCGATATGGCCTGGAGATTTTGAGTTACTATATAAGTATGAAACATATAATAACAGCTACAAAGAATCACTATCAGGATCTGGCTGTCCGATATGGCCTGGAGATTTTGAGTTACTATATAAGTATGAAACATATAATAACAGCTACAAAGAATCACTATCAGGATCTGGTTGTCCGATATGGCCTGGAGATTTTGAGTTACTATATAAGTATGAAACATATAATAACAGCTACAAAGAATCACTATCAGGATCTGGTTGTCCGATATGGCCTGGAGATTTTGAGTTACTATATAAGTATGAAACATATAATAACAGCTACAAAGAATCACTATCAGGATCTGGTTGTCCGATATGGCCTGGAGATTTTGAGTTACTATATAAGTATGAAACATATAATAATATTAATTTAAAGTTTTCCATTTGAATTGAAATTTCGGACAGTTGTGTTGAAAAAATAGCAATAAAATTACAAAGAAACGACATAGCACATTTTGGATACTCACTAATTCCATGGACTTTGTCTTTAATATGCGACACTAGCACCATTAAGCTTGGTAAAATAGTTCCTTCGAAAGTCACATCAATTCAGATAATCAGAATCAGGTCCTTTAATGACGTCACACTGTACATTATTTGAGACAGTGAGCTTTGTAAGGGTTTCGCTAGGTCTGGGAAAGCATCAGAATAAGAGACAATTATTTTGCTAAACGCATTAACAGAATGCAACCACGAGGTCGTTTCCGTTAACACTGTTTGGGCGTTTTGTAATTGGTTTTGTGCTTTCTCGTAGGTACCGCTTTGTATAATATCATACATTGAACCGCAAGTTGACAAAAGGTTGGTATACAGGGTCTTCACTGATTTTTCAGATAGGACGGACTTTGTAAAGTGCTTGCAATCCTGTAAAGAAATCAATTTGTGATCAATAATTTCTATTAGGTCATACACTTTTTTAATTGATGTTTTATTATAAGTATAGCGCTTTAAAAAATCTATAAATTTAATTTCAATAGCGTAAAAAATGTAAAAAAAAGTTTTTTTACTTTCAATTGTTATGTAAGGAATTACGCGTGACAAGTGGCAAGCTAGAAGTGAATTTTAAACGAAGTAATAGAGAGATTTGGTTACATTTGAGTTTTGCTTTAACATAACATTAACATAACTTTAAATGCAATAGGATGCGGCCAGAAACAAACCGTTAAGTTTTTCATTCTTAAATTTTGTTTTTAAAAAACAACAACATTTATTAAATTACATGAAAATCTAAAATCATCGTGTTTACGTATCTAGGGAACATTTTTAACGTACGTCCTTATTTTTATGGATATAGTTAATTATGTCAGTTCACATTCCTCTATATATTTCACTTTGAGTCTTGGTTTTCAACGTGGTCTATGGGACTTATTTCTGCCATTATTCTAAGCCCTAAGGAATAGAAGACTAGTCAACAGTGATAATTCCGCAGTTAATATTTTCGTTTTATCTCTCATATTGTTTTCGTTTGCGATAGAACTTGTAAGCTGCTTATATATATCGTTAGCTTTGTTCAACATGTCTATAATATTCGCGTCTCCTATATGTCGGCGCAGTTACCATTTTAATAATCAATAATTGAGGGTAGATAAATTATCAGGTGTCGTTCGCGTAACAACCTGTGCAAGTGAAGTCATAACAATGGCTGTTAGTCATTATAAATAGAGGCGAGATTACTGATTACAGATAGTCGTGCTGGAGCCGTCGCGGGGATCGAACCTCTTTCAAGTGAGACATCATCTAACCGGCTGTGAGGGCTGTGAAGTTACCTTCGATAACCTCAAGGGCTGACGACATTCGAGGACAAACCGCACTGGTGACGTCAGTTATGCTGACGTCACTCATTTTAAAAACCACGTATTGGCACCTTCTCCGACATATAAAATATAATTATATTTCTCTAGTTATGACGTCACAATTATCTATAATACTCTCATTTACTGTATAATTTTCTAAAATTATATATGACAGACAATCAATGAGCTGTTCGTATTTTTTTTTTCGAATATAGCGTCTGATTTCCTGTAAGAAAATATTATGTTAACAGATGTGCATGTGAAGATTTAATTATTACAGTGGACCCCCGGTAGTCCGACAAACATTTTGCAGGGCAGTGTCGAACTATCGAATTCGTCGGATTAAAGAGTACTGCCTAAGACACCCTATAGTCCGGAGTTTTTTTACAAAAGAGTACTTTGTAATCTGACAACTTACAGATTCAATGATAAGATTATTTACATATTATATAAACATATGTACTTATATGTACGCTGAAGTACAAATTCAAATCCAACTAAGCAATCAGAATCATAACAATACCCTAGACGTTGAGCACAGTAGTGATGGTGCGTACAAGTTGTAAATTGTTCAATCATGCATTAGCGAATACAAAATATGTAAGTATTCAATAATAAATAATAGATCATGTCGGATTACAGGGGGTGCCGGATTAGTCAGGGGCCGGATTACCGGGGGTCCACTGTAATTTGAAAATATAAGAAAACAATATTTAAAATTTGAGTAATGCCGTTGAATCCAATGTACCGAAGTTTTTCCATTAAATATTCAAAACAGATTGCAACTGCATGGAATAGTCCGTACGGTCCTTCAAAGCAACACTTTCATATGCCATGACTGAATATGACGCTGAAAAAATATTATTAAAACATTAAAATTACTGTAATCTAAAGCAGTTTAACCGAGAAGTAAGTACATAAATGCATTTCAATATAATAAAATCACCAGTGACTTCCAAACATGTCGTAAGATTTTGAAGGTAGAATGGCATTAAGGAGAGATTCATAGAGAGTCTTGAACTATTTAAAGGAATACGGTCCTCTGAATTAAAAAAATCATTAATCTTTAAAAACGGTACAGGATATGTAGCGGGCGAGCTCACAAGCATTCTATTCAGTTCTATCCAAAAGCCAACGGGCAACGAAGATATTCTAAAAATGACAGAAGATGAGTTAAATAGAATTATTGTAAATTAATAGTGATAGTTGAATTATACGTACCCGTTATCGAGTTCTTTATTTGTTTCAAGAACTGTTCTTATAACTTGCAACTGATTCAGTAAGGCGGGGGGAAATCCTTTAATAACTTTTCCTAGATGAATTAAACTCGACATAATTTCTTGTATGACCCTCGATGATCCGGCGGACTTCGTACCGCGCTATAATCAAGAAATATCTGTTACCTTTTTATCTCAATGAAGTTAATTTCTTAACAATTATGTACAGCTGACTTGAATGACAATGGTCTGTCTTCTTCTTATATATTATATGTTTAAATTAATACTATAATAGTATAAGTCTTTAGTATTTCGATAATCTGTCCAGATCTCAACTAATAACATTCAAAAACAATTTGAAAATGTAACATTTATTTTTTTATGTACAGTAGAAACTCTTTTAATCGAAATAATTATCGTCGAAAGGCATTGGGATAATCGAAAATCCGGATAATCGAATGTATGAAGAAAAGACGGTTTTGTGCTTATATACTTAGTTCATAAATCATAATGTTATATGTTTATTTTAAAAATAAATTACAATTTGGTGATATGAAATTGGTAATCATGAATTATAATAATAATTATTAATTTGGTTTAGGATATTTGTTACTTGTCATTTGACGTACGCCACTCTCAACACCACCACTCTCTTACGCTTGGACATTTCTTCTTGTCCGTAGTCCGGACAATCGCGAATCCGTATAACTGAGGGCCTCATAATCGAGTAACCGTAAAAGCCGGTACGATCGATCCTGGGAACCCGGGTTCGATCCTTTACATGTTTTCGTCGAGTTTTCTTTAAGTTTTCTTTTTTTTAACATTTAATCTGCTATTCGGGACGGAGACAAATCCAACGAACAAAAAACCGTGAAAATTGGTCTCGATCTCGAGTTATATGTGTAACAAACACGACTTTCTTTCATCCTACTACTATTATAAAGGCGAAAGTTTGTATGGATGTATGTATGTTTGTTACTCTTTCACGCAAAAACTACTAAATGGATTTGAATGAAACTTTACCACAATATAGCTTATACATCAGAATAACACATCTACAATTTTTGAGGTTTCTAATGTGAGGTCGTAAAAAAAAAACATTTTTTTTGCGCTTACATTGCAAACGCTGACTGAATCCTACAAGATAGATCAAAACAATGTACTACAGTATTGTACAACTTAAAAAGGTCTACAAAAGAGTCCGCGATGGTATATGTTTATCTCTTAGGAATAAGCCACAATAACCATTTTTTATCCTTTACATTGAACGAGATATAATGGCTTCTTTACGAAGCGATTTTAAGCAATACAGTATTAATCCTTATCCAATTAAGTATCTTAAATACATTGTGCATTTAATAAAGATCAATATGGCTTTTTACAGCATGTAAATTAAATAAATATTTTCGAAGATATCACAGATTTAAAATGCAGAGTCATAGCAATTTCGGCGATAAATACCGTTTCGGTGATAAATACCGGCAGCGGTGTCAGGCGTACGGTGAGGGGAGCGGGGTAGGTGCGGTGGGGAAGAAGTGGCTATACATATATTACTAATGACGAAACTAACGCGGACGAAGTCGCGGGCAAAAACTAGTATACAATATAGATTATATCGCATATTGTCGTTTTTCTAGAGATGAAATGACCAGTAAGAAAAATTTACGACCAGTAATAAAATATCTTATTATGATGTTTCATAGATTATACCAATTATTAGTAATTTAATTTAAATAAATTCTGCTATATTTTCTGTATTCGAACGCAAAACATACTTTTACAGGTGCACTAATTCACACAAGCGTAATATGAATATTTTCCAGTACTAGCCCAGTGAATTGTATACAGATTTGTTATTATAAAATAATTTGAGAAATAAACGTACTGTATATATTTTTGATATTAGTTGACCTTTTAAATGTTCATGAAATCCGCATTGGTATTGGATAGAAAAAATAATAAATATATAGTGAAGTAATTTTGGTGATTACGAAAATTCAAAGCTAGACATACTTTTAAATATTTCATATCTTAAAAGTACTTGATGTAAAAACAGGGCAGTAGCGTGCCTAGTACAGATTTAAGGTACGGTAAACAGAATATGTTTGAAAAATAAAATAACAATTTTCATCATTTCTTGCTCTAATCATTGATAATAATGATATCTTTCGCAAGTATTGATTTGAATTTAGAAATGAAACTAATATTTTTATTGTTTTTAACGGGCAGACGAGAGTCGCGTCGGAAGTATACTACCCGGCACGAAACCTGACCTAACATGGCGTCCTCTGCGCAGATATAGTCGTTGCGAAAATCAGATAGGTACTATCTAAAAATAAATATTTAATATATTAAACTTTAAAGGGAAGGAACGTAAA